CTTTTTCCATCTAAAACTGAAACGGTAGTCTATCGGCAGACTACAGAGAGCACGTCCGCTATACTAAATGTACCCTTGAAAGACTCTGAGATCAATTTCCTCAGCTAGAGTAATACTAGTCGAAGCTCAGGGTCGCGCAGCCTTGCATTGTTGGGGCTCGGTTGCCATGGCAGCGCCAATGTTTGTCTATCGTAGGCTGTCACAAAGCGATATTTGTATGGTTGTGGCGGGGCGTGTGTGGTGAAGGCAGAGGGGACTGTCAAACATGGAGCATTAAGAGTGCGTGCACACAGCGTCATTCTTGTGGTTTAGTGTATTGTGTAGCAGTTTTATTGGCTTCATTAGCCGTACTTCCCTATTGTGCAGAAGCGATATAGCATGCCAGGCTGATCCAACTTGTAAAAGTAGCCTCTCCACAACAAATAGCCACAATGTCCACTTCACTTTTAAATGAGAACAAGAAATAGAAGGACAGCCTTATGTTTCTTTTTGGTGTTTGGGAAGTCCCTGAAATATCAAAAAGCCATATTTCTGCTAAGAGAAGTATATTTATTATAATACACTGTTCACTTCACTAAACACTACATGGGATCTCAGACTGATCCTCATACTCAACAAACAGTGCTGTTTATTTAGAGTTTTTATACATAGGCAGATGTCTGTGGTTGTGTATGTGTGAATGATGGCATCTGCTACAGTATGTGTGACTTAGTGGTACACAGGTAGCCTAGTTTCTGGCTCATAGCAGAATTTTAAATAACTAAAAAAACAAGTCTAATCCCAATGAATCTAAGGGGAAAGTCAGTGTCAGATATTCTGAGGTTGATGTTGTGTTCAGTGTTCTCTGTGAAATATGTGTTGATTCACCGGCGTGGTGCACATTCATAGTGCAGCATTCAAAGCCCAATCAGGTCCGTACAGACCTGCCGGTTGCCCAGGATGGTGTTTGTTTTTCTTATTTTTCTTTTCTGCTACAGTGCTTTGTTCCCTGCTGTGACACTTTGCGGCGATGTGTGCCCATACCGTCGGAGAGCTGTATGACTCACAGCCTTGATGTTTTTAGACCAACATTACCATTTCAGAGCAGATGAATCGTAGAGGCTAATGTTTGTGACAAAGGTTCAGATGTGTACGTCAGCAGAGCAGGACCTTGCTAAACAGAGTTGTTAAATTAAGATCATAACAAAAATTGCTTCTTTTTTTACTGAGAGTGAGAACGTGAGGCGCTGCGCCCACACACAATTCTTTCCTGCTGGCCTGTGACCTGCTAATAGGAGAGTCAGGCTTAAAAGGAGCGTTATTAGTCTGAAGAGTGATTTCATACTGAGTGCTAGATGATAGCGAGGCCTGATCTAATGTTTCCTGTGTATTATAGCTACACAGACAGCACTTGCACTTACATCAAAGCAAGTCGATTTAAAAACTGAATTTAAAATTCTCTTCTAGCACAATAACTCATTTTGAAAGCTCCAGGAAAAAGAAAACAGGAAATTCAACATGTCATCTTTTTTTGCCTTGTCCTATGTTGCATTCATGACGCGTGAACTAGGGATGCACAATTAATCGAAATATCATCGACACTGAAGTATGGCCAAGTGCAGTGTCCAAATCACAGAAGCTAAAATATGTGACAAAACAGCATTATTATGAAGTACTGTAGTGCTAAAATCATACAAATCTTGTTCTTGTTGAGTTTTTTTCCAGTGACAATTGGATTTGTAGAGCAAAAATGATCATTCTCACCCTAAATGTATCACAATCGCAGTATCTGTCAAAGTAGTGGTAACTTTCATAGCAACTCTCCTTCTAGTCTAGTCTTAGTCTTAAGTGGCTATAATTAGTGTTTTTATGTGAACTGGGGGAATCTCATGACTAACTGTAATGTGAAAGGTGGTCGTCCATAGCAACAAACCCTCAGAGACTTATCACCCAACTCAAATTTTCCTTTCTTTGGTTTCCTGGCTAGCAACTTTACTGTTTTAGTTCGGTTTCACCACTTCGTAGTGTTGCTTTTGGGTGCAGTTGGCAGCTGTTTTCAGTAAAAAAGAACTTTAATAACTACCTGCCCAGCACCAAACAGTAGACAAAGCTACACATAGATATTTAGTGAACGGCATTTAGCAGCTAAAGTGACAGATATTTTCCTCAGGAATTGGTGGAGACCAGAGCAGAGCTAAGAGAAGAATGAATATTGGTCTTACATTCGTCAGGTGGGAAGAAACATAACCCCAGATGAATTCTAATTCTTCTTTTTTTGTTGCCTTCTAGTAGCCAAAACAAAATCCTACTACAAGGAGTTTTTAGTCTCAATTTAATTTAAATCTCAGGCTTTAATGTTGACATTAATGTTGAATACACTGTAAATATAGTTTTTATACGCTTATATGCTACTGTTTTAACTATTGTGTGACTTTAACAGTTGAATCAGAGACTGAAATCCACAGTAAAAACATCATTAATGCAGGTTCCAGAAACAGGTGTAATGCAGGACACTGCCCATTGTTATGCACTGCCTGACCCATACTCCCATTATGTATGCACAGCCTGACATGGGGATATTACAGGTTGTCAGGTTTGACATAAAGAAGAAACACTGAACGCTGGATTGGAGCTCTCGTTATGGTTAGTGGGCTTCTCTGTGGTAATGTATTAGGTGTTGGACAATATTCCATGTATAGACTAGATCCATATACTCTGGTCTAGTGAGGTAGTATAATAAACAGATGAGTTTGTTTTAGCTATAAACAGACATTAATTCACCCACACAGGAAAACCATCCAGTCACTGGTTAAACCAACATTTACTCGCCAGCCTTTAGTAAGAAGAACACATTTAACAGTGTGGTTTGTTATAAAGCAAATAAAGTCTGAAGACAGCATTTTGCATTTGAATAGGGTTTTGACCAGTGAGATGTAACCATGGATACAGTGCAGTAAATCTCTTCAGAGCAAAAGTCTTAACACAGCTTCATGGGTCTAGATGGTTGTTGTGCATCATAATAAAATAAGATCTGGATCCAGTCAAAACTAGCTTGGTTTTCTAAATGAGTGGGACAGATATTAGTCATTGTGTTGTGAAAAGCCACATCTGGAATCATTTGGGCTTTTTATGATTACTTACAAATAAGGACATAAGTTTCAGTGACATTCCTCAGGATGAGTAAATGTCCTACTTTTGTAGGAAAATACTGGAATAAAGTGAACTCACAGGGGTGATCTCCATTTAAGAAAATGATCAAGTAATATATTTCTCTTCCTTGCCTTACCTATGAAACTTATTATATACCCATCTGAGCTTTTTCATCCTGCATTACGTCAACAGAATTGAGTGAGCTACTAATCCATCCCATATTATTGATGCACTTTTGTTGCCGTTTTTGTTTGTGGAAAGTTGAAGTCATTCCGTCTCGGCTTGAATATGACATTGTCTTCGCTCCTCGATGCTTGTGCTGACACAGTGACACTCTCTGCTCTTTGATTTGAGCGTTTCCCCCCCCACATTGTTTTAAAGAGTAATGAAGAAAATGGGCCATATTCTGGGCAAATATCCAGCTACAGTTCTTCAAAGCTACCTGGGCTATAAGGCTGGCAGCATACTTGAAACAAATCAATTTTGGCATGTTCACATGGGCAAAATGCCAAGTTTAGAAGTAAAAAGCAATGAGATAAGTTCATTTGACTATTTTCTTTTACACTTATGCCATTGTTGTGCCGGACTGCATGCTGTATAGTTGATGGAAACCAAAAAAGCAGGCTCAAAGTCTGGAAAAGATTTTTGTTTTGTGTGGAAAGTGTGTCAGCTGTTTGCGGTGGCTGAGTTTTCCTCCCGGGCAGGTCAGTCTGCCTCCTGCCACTCCTTCCACAGCACAAGCCAACGGATGTCCTGCACCGTAGACGTTAACACACAATAATGTTTGACTGTTACAAACATATTGTTAATGTTTACAACGTATTGTTATCCTATTGATTGGTGAAAACTACAAAACAGCCTGTATCATGAAGTCCAGGGCTGTCTGTGCTTGCTGTGGCCGTACAAACAGGCGTCTTTCCTTTCCGTTCCTGCCACATCTGACTCACCACTGGAAAAATTGAACTTCCTGTGTAGGTCCTAACTGCTCTTTGAAGTTGACGTAGACATTTTTGCATTAAGTTTCTTTTTCTTCTTAACCAACTGCTCTCTGTTTTTGGCCAGGTTTGATAAGTCACGTGCTTTTATCTGGCACAACAACGCGATTTCTTATACTGTATAGAGTATAAATGATGAGCAGCAGTTTAGACTCTTTGATTCGTAATTTTATGACTTCTAAATTTGGTGTCGTGACTCAAACTTTTACTGAAAAACAGACAAACTTTTACTTCAGAATTTCTCGCAAACACTCAATAAAAGATGACAAAGAGCATGCTCTGTCAGCTCCGACCACTAAACTGGGTATCACTTTTCACATTTTTTTGTCACTTGAGTCAAATTTGCAACCATAATCTCAAGTGTTTTATAGACTTTGGTGTCTGCTTGATTTACGCTCTCAGTGGCATTTCTGAGCATTCCTCCGGGTCCGACTGCTCTCCCCTGGCTCTCTGTAGCCGCCAAAGCTTTAACTCTCTCGACATAATTGGAGCAGTGCGGTGATCTACAATGACAAGAGTGTTTGTTTTGAATGTCAACAAATCCAGTCCCTTCATTAGCCCTTGTGTTTCCCCAGTTTGTTTGCTTCGTTGTGGTGCAGCAGTCTTGAAGGATCCTTTTAATGCCTTGACCACAGTATTACTTAGCATTCTGTGTTTGCTTGAATGTATAATCCAACCCACTGTCCCGAAGTGATACGTAAGAGGTTTGCCTTCACTAACATACAGTGTTCTCCCTGGCTATAGGCTAAATACGGTATGTGTAGAAGTTATAACCACAGCAGAGGGTGTGGAGTACTTTAATGTCTTCTATGAACACGGTACAGCAGGGTTCATTGCTTATTAGGCAAACAAAATTGACTATTTTCTCACTTCTAGGTACGCCCAGCCATGATTGAGGACAAGGGTCACCGTGTGACCGACTACTTTGTGGTGGCCGGGCTGACAGACAAGTCCACGCCCCTGGAGCAGGACCTGTCGGAGACCAAGTCCGGCGGCCCCAAAGCGCCCATCACTGACTTGGCTGTCATTAACAAGTCGGCCGGAGAAACGGTGCCCGAGGGCTTCACTTGCATCGACACCACCTACAGCGGCCAGCCAGCCAACCTTAACCACGGCAGTCTTAAGAGTCCTGAGCTGTTTCTGTGCTACAGGAGGAGTCGAGGGAAGTCGCCTCTTATTGACATTGGGTGAGTCAGCAGTTTATTCATGTCTGTGTTTGTAATCTGGTATGTTCATGTGCCTGCAACAGCATCATTATGAGTGGCTTCAGTACCATAAACTCATGTGAGTAAAGCAAAAAAGTGTTGTTGGTTTTTGATAACAGCTTTATCTGAGTCTTAATAGGTTGATAACGTTATAATATTGTTAAACACTGGACTTAGCTTTAATTTAGCCACTTAACTCCTAAATGTCTTCTTCCGTTCTCTCTGAGTTACTGTAAATTCAGAGGCTCAGTGTGTTTATTGCAATGGAAACAGGCTGGAAGAAGGAAGACGCTTTGAGTGGGGGAAAAAAACGCATCACCACAGCAATTACAGATATGATTAAAGATCCTCACAACATCCTTCAACAGGGCTAATCGCTAGCTAGCATGTCGACAGACTTTCACATGCAGAGACATTTTGGAGTGGCCTTCTTCATGGAAGCCATTTTGACATGTTGCATTAGGAAAAGCACAAGCGTGAACATTAAATGAATGATGGCTGAATTCCATTTAGCTGCGTCAGTTTCCTACCTTTTGCAAACCTAATAATATATTACATTATATAGTGAAAGGTGTTTCTCATATTTGGTGTCCCCCAGTGTCATAATTAGACTCTGATGGCATGACAAAACATGTTTTCAGAGGTGGAAATCATCCCCCTGATGCGTCATGGAGTTCTCCCTCTCAGCCACACCTCTTGGCTCCTGTCCACTGATACAATTTTCCTGCTTCCTCCTATTATCTTACAAGAGGGAACTCCATCATGGTTCTCTTAATCCAGCCCAGTGAACCTAAAGCTACCACCGTACTTACTTCACAGAGGAGCCAAAAATGTTACCTACATTTCATCACCAGTTTGTATCTCTTAACGCATCTGTCCTGAATGAACTAGCAATATGCGTAATTGAGATGATGAGAGAATGATGCAACTGCGTGGGGCCTTTCAGTTCTCCACACACCTTAGTCTTTGTCTAAAGCCTCTTTGTGTACCCCGCAAACAAACTGGAGTCTCCAGTTACAAGAGACAACACTACCTGCTATGCTCACTCTCTCAAACAAATTCAGTTATTTCAATAAAAGTGGTGTTGCTTTATAAACGCAACACATTTACTATATTCTGTTTGTTCTGTGATGAGTTTGGTTCATTTCATGTGATTGTCTTTTGCTATATGTAGCTTTAAACTAGAGAAATGTTTAAAAAAAAAAAAAAAACCTTGCTGAAACCCTGCAGCCGTCGGTGCACTGAGCATAAACACAAGATCGTATGTCAGGTCTTGTTTCCTTTAAGAGATTGTGCAATCCTGCTTAGCATGCTAACAGACATATGGGGTGGAGAAAATGGAAGTGAAGTTATATTCAAAAGATTCACAGTCTTTGTGAAGTTTTTCATTGGTTGAAGAACTCAATCCGTCACGCTGTTTAATGAGCCTGAATAACATATTTCACAAGCTTATTTTATGTGTTGCTACAGAGATAATATAAAGAGACTCTTCATGTAAAATTCATGACTATGTGGTCTATTATTAATATTATTAATAAGTGATTCTGTTTTTAATAAAAATGCCACAAGTAGATGCATTATGGCATTGGTTCACTTCCTGATGGTCCTGTTTTGGTTGAGCTACAACACAGAAGGTCAGTGAATATTTTTGGCCGTGTTGCAACACTGATGTCTTCCCTTCCTGACTGCTGTTCCACCTGCTGGCCTTTATCCACCCAAAGTATAAATGAAAAGCTAGCAACCTGTAAATCATTCATTCTTCCTTCTGCCACCTTTGCTGTCAGTGAAGCCAGCATTCCCAGCCCGGGGCTCCACAGTGTCACGACTCACTGTGCCCATTTGGGCTCTGTTTTTGTTGCCTAAATGAGAATTTGCTGGCAGCTGTCCTCCTGGCCTCTTAAGGTTTGTCCTGCACTCTTTTCAAAATAAATGGAGTGTTTCAGGACTATTATATCTGCGGTGGCTGTCCTGTAGCTCACACAAGATTAAGAAATGTGTTTTGGGGTCTGTCTTAGTTTTAAAGAGGGCAGCAATCACAGCTTTTGGCCTCCCACGTTGCATTGTCCAGATGGAAAGGGGAGGGCATGGAGCATGCTACCATAGAAGCCCTGCAGTCATGCAAAAAAAAACAACAACAACACAGTGGGGCACTGATTGCTGATCTGCAACTTTTAGCTGTGTGATATTCCACAGCAGGAGTGATAAAGAAGCAGAGAGATTTTGGCACTAATCCATATTGTTACATTCAAAGTGTTTGCTTTGTACGAAGTTGAATGTGAGAATCTTGATAACCAAGTTTCCTTTACTGTCTGGGACTTAAATGAGTCAGCTGCTAAATATGTCTGAATCATTTCACTCATTGAAGACAGGCTTCTCACCGAAGCCTCAAAGGGTAACCAGAGCTTTAAGAAGAAAGTCAGTGGTGCTGACCACACACTGATCCTCCCTGTAAAACAGGAGAACCAGATTATCCTCACACTACAGCCACAGTTCAGCCTATTGTCTCTCAAGAATGCACTTTTTTCCTAAATCAGTCCAAATGTGGATGATATGCAGCAACATTGTAGAGCACACTGTTTGCCAGAATTGTAACCAGTGTTGTAAATTAAAATGGATAAATATATTGTTTTTAGGAAATTAAAGAAATCTTGACGTTTCCTCCCACATAACCCAAGTAATAACTTATTTGAGTTAGAATTTGTCTTTTTCTGTGAAGACATTTTTTTTAACTTACAACACTTAAATCTGCATTAATTAATATTGTCATACTCACAATGGATCAAATGACTACTTGTATTTGAAAGGTCACACGTAGTGACGTACGCGTCAGCTGACTCTGCAGTTACCCTCAGTTCTGCAGTTCAGCCCATTGTTTTGTTTTTTACGGCCCGCAACTTCACTGTTTTGATTGAGTCTCACCGCTCTCAGCAGCGTTATTTCCAGTCACAGCAGGCAGAAATTTTCATCAAAAAAGCTCTGATAAACCTACTGCGCACTGACACACTTAGCAGCTAGTTGTGAACATAGTGGAGCCTGTAGCAGATAAAGAGCCAGATATTTCACTTAGGAGTTGGTTAACACCAGCTGCTGTATGAAAAACATAAACAACTTCGACATGTGAAAATTGTGGTTTTATCAAAGTCTCTGTAGTGTTGTATTTGACACTCCCCCAAGTATTCTATTATCTGCATACATCAGAAAGGTGGTACATAGCTAATGGAAATATAAACTAGTTAACTCAGTAGTAGTAGTAGGAAAACAGATTTCCCTTTTAAATATTGTTGTGAGCGTTTCCTTGCAAAATGTACCCTTTTGGCAATTGTGCTGTTCTGGAACCTTTCCTTCAGACTGTTTAGTTCATTACTCGGGAGCTTGTGGTGGACACCTTTTCCATTTGGGAAAGCCACACACCAGCATAAGATATTCACTATCTGATGTTTTTTCTTGTGCACAACACAGAAATGCCCAGATTTTTCTATTTTAAATTCTTTCTTTCTCGCAGTCTGCTTCAAACGCCTATTGTTAGCATTGAAACTTGAATGTCCTTATGCTTTTGCAGTGTAAACTGTTACGTCATTAGAATGTGAGTTATTTGACTTTTGGCAGCAACGCTTGTTTAAGAAATGAAAGCCATGCCTGACAGTAAAAGTGATTTCAGGACAGCACTCTTCTCTGAGACGCTGAATTGTCTATGAGAGTCCTGTAGTATGTGTGGGCATGAGTCATTGCAATGCCAGCTCTTTGCACTCCTATCTGCCATCTTAATCTCCATACCATTTTCATCACTTTTGCACCAAAGACAGCGTTACAGACTTACTCTCGGGTTCCGTCTTTATCGCTCTCTGTTGCCCTTTGTCTCATTTTCATTCTTGAATGAGGCCACAAATGGTGTCATGTCATTGTGCCAAGCTAACATTTTTACTTATTGTTTGTTGTGTTCATCAGTGTGCTGTATGAGGGGAAGGAGCGTCTGATCCAGGGCTGCGAGGTCATCCAGGCCACACCGTACGGCCGCTGCGCCAACGTCAACAACAGCTCCGCCACCTCGCAGCGCATTTTCATCACCCTCCGCCGAGCGCCGCCCGTCCAGCCTCAGAACTCCCTGGCAGTGACAGACATCTGCGTGATCGTCACCAGCAAGGGCGAGACACCACCACATACCTTTTGCAAGGTGGACAAAAACCTCAACTGTGGCATGGTAAGTCTGAATTTTATTCCTTACCTAGCACATGCGCATCATCAGTCCACAGAAAACAAATGTGTAATGTCTTATGTTTTAAACCTTTCAGTGGGGCTCTAATGTGTTCCTGTGTTACAAGAAATCAGTATCTGCGTCCAATTCCATCAGTTACAAAGCCGGTGAGTAAACAGAAGATATTTGTGTGTTATTGTTAGAAAAGATCAATTCCTGCACGCTGACAGTGTAGATCACTCCTACGCACCTGCCTCATGAAATAGATGTGCTATTCTGTATTATAAGTTCAATTTCACAACAGTGTTACTAGACGTCTGCTGTTGTCTTGGTTTTATTGTTATTGCACATTAAAATTCTGAAGTTCAAAGCCACAGTTATGAGATACTGAGTCATTATAATGAGATGAAGTGAGACTTAAGTTTTCACTTTAAATGTCAACATTAACATTAGGTAAGTCATAATTATGAGATTGTGATAGTAATTCTAATCTTTTTCAACATTTTGGCTTGAGTAATTGAATTTCTTTTTTTAGGCAGAAATGGTGTGATGTGTTGATATCAAGTGTGCTGTAGTTCATGGTGCAGCTGTCACATTTTCGTCTCAAAGCTCAAGCGAGCGGCACCTTTAGTGTGTATTTCTAAAACTGCCGTGTGACATTTTCACTCACTGAATGCTTCCTTAACAGCTTGGCCTTTGGAACAATTCATTGTGCAACGCACATATAATCAGTGTTCATATGAATGTGTGTGTACACACACACACACCCATGCAGACACACATGCTGGCTTTATCTCTTTGGCCGGCCTTTTTCCTGTGAGGCGGCTGTTTATTCATCTCAGACAACGGCACTTCCTGCCACGCCCATTATTTGTGTGTCTGCATGTTTGTGTATGTGCATGTTCAAATAAGAATGTGTGTGTCTTGTCAGAACAGCATCTCACCAAACAAGTTACTCTGAGGCGAACAGTTACTTCGTCAAAATGAAACCACAGTATACTGACTGATGACTACTTTTCATCAAAGCTCTCATTTAAAGCCTTTTTTGTTTGAGCCGTGCAGAGAAATAAAGGCAGAATTGTAGCCTGTCTGGAAGGTTGAGTTACTGTTGTACTCAGTCTAGCATATAAATTGTCAAATTTTGGGATGCATTTTGTTCAACAATACATCTCAGAACATTTGTTTTTTCTTTTGTTTTCCAGGTCTCATCTTTCGTTACCCAGAAGAAGACTATGAGTCTTTTCCTCTGTCAGAATCTGTCCCTCTGTTTTGTTTGCCCATGGGTGCCCAGATCGAGTGTTGGGCACCAAACACACGGGATCCCCTGCCCGTCTTCTCCACGTTTGTCTTAACCATCTCTTCTGGTGAAAAGGTAAGACACAGCAAGTGCAAGCTGTCATTGATGTGGAAAGGACTGCCGTTGGAAGGAAAATTGTTACCGGATTTAATGTTTCTCTTTCTAAGACCTCATGACATTTCCATCAAGGTTAAACTGGGGAAAAGGTTTGTTTAAGAATATATCCATCTCTGGTTGCAGGTGTATGGATCAGCCATCCAGTTTTACGAGCCTTATCCAGTGGATCTGTTGAGTGAGAAGCAGAAGATCCAGTTGGGCCTGCTCACCACGGTGGAGAAAAAGATGATCCCCAACCGGCCTGTAAACACCAATAAATGCATCTGCCTGCTCTCTCGCTGGCCCTTCTTTGAGGCCTTTCGCAAGTTCCTGATGTTCCTCTATAAGCTCTCTGTCTCAGGCCCACACCCACTGCCTATTGAAAAGTAAGAGTCTGCTTTCAAATATTGACATTTTTATATAATTTGCTAAGGGCGTTAATGCTACTGTACAGATCTCAAAGCTCACATTTTGATAGGTTGAATGTAGTTGCTGTATATATTTAAGACACATTTTTATTTTTAATATTATTTTTCTCAACAGGCACATCTCGCACTTCATGCACAATGTGTCATTTCCTTCTCCGCAAAGGCCAAGAATATTAGTCCAGGTGACATGTTTTTCTCTTTATATTGTTAATAATTGTCAATCAAAAACATACTTTAACATGTATCATTGTGTTTTTATTGTTCCTTATATGAACATTATACACTTTTTTCTTTCAGCTCTCAGCACATGACAACTTGATCCTCTCCCAGCCTGTGTGTACACCCTTACCCCTCAGGTACAATTGGGCTTTGCGATGCTGAGCATGATAACTAAACAAACGTTCCGTTACTTTGTTGAAATCCTTTTTCAATTCTCTATTCTTTGACAGTTTTGTTTCAGTTTCAAGCTAAATGTAGCTGTCCTTCGGTGTCCTCTGTCTATAGGAAAAATAGATGAGCTGGCTGAAATTAAAAGACCAGTGTATTGTTCCAGGAAAAAGCATTCATTAATGTTTCAGGTCAAATTCTCCCACTGAAAACTGCCACAGGCATCATCATTTTGTCAACTTTTCCCACTGCTAATTTGCATAATTGCGTTGTGTTTGAAATTGATATGAGGATTGAGAAGAGGAAATTCATTCTGAGTCACTATTACAAAGTGCTCTCAAAGGTCATTTTAGGTTCTGAGAAAAACTCCAACAGCATGGCAGCGTATGTGAACACAGGAAAACTGCATTAGCACACAGTAACAGCTGATCAAAAAGAGATTCTTGGTGACAATAATGGGATATTGTCTTAACATTCATAGAAATTACTGTCAAATTGAATCATTGCTACAGAGTCTCAACAGAGGGTTTCCATTATAGGCTTAACAAAGCCAGTATGACTTGCAGGGTTGTTAGATATAAGGTCATAGCGTTATTTTATTTTTTCAGAGATCTCGGTATTGATCCTAAAAATGCTAATTATTACCACAACTGTTAAAAGTTCAAAATGCCACTCAACTTAATGTTTTCATTCTGGGATCTTTATTACCTATCATTGTTTAGAGAAGTTTTGAATTACTTTGTTTGTCTCTTACATAACTCACGTCTGTCTCTAGTTACAAACCCAGTTATAAACTCTTTTCAGTTCAATTCAGTTCTTTTTTTTCACACTCCTTCCTCCCCTTATGTCTCCTCTTTCTTGCTTTCTGTTTTGTTTTCCATTCTCTGCCCAAACTCACTCATCTCCTCCGTGCTCTCCCTCCCCTGTCAGCGGGGCAGACTACGGCACTCTGCTGATGAATCTGGGCTCCGAGAACTGCGCCACACTGCTGCACTTTATCCTGCTGGAGAGCAAAATCCTGCTGCACTCGCTCCGGCCCGCTGTGCTCACCGGAGTGGCCGAGGCTGTGGTGGCTGTGAGTATGCTCAGCCATGCAAACCAAACAAGAGTTTTAGCAACATATACTGCTTTTTAAGCTTCATAATGTTCAGTTTATTTCAGTTAAAATTAACATCTGGTATGATCAACAAGCTCAGTGTAAATTGACTGCTGTGGGTATTGCATTTATGGTAATAACTTAGATGTGACAATAAAGGCTTTCAAGAGTCTGTAAATGTTTGAGCAGCCTCAAAAGTGCTTTTACTCTTACAAAGCTGTATAAACCTCCATCATTCTTGTCGGGATTAACCAGCTCTGTAGAGAGAAACATATATTATCAAAGCATCTGCCTAAATACAAAAACCATTTAATATGAGAAGACCAAAAACACATCCTGTTTCATAATCATTCAGCAGCCCAGGCTTGTCATTTATATACAAGTTCAATAAAAGAGAAGATAATATTTCACCCTGCCTAATGCCCCATACTGACATTAAGAGAATCAAATACAGCCACATCATCTGAACTGCATAGTCTGATAAGTGTTCTAAATCTGATATATATGTAATTCCTATAAAACATTTTTTCCTGACTGATTTCATCAGATGCCTTTAATGCATTCCAGAAAGCACATTAACCTGGTGAAACTGTGCAGGACTGTAATTACCATCACTATTAATTTGACTTGCTTTTTATATTATATAGCTTATAATAATTGATGACTGTAACTAACAGAAGAATGCTGTGAATGACAAACGCAACACAACAAACAGCAATGTGATTATCCTGATAAGGTGCACATGCATTATACCATCTAGATTTCTTACATTTATGCAGACATTTCAGCAGAAATCTCTGTCGTAACTCCCTCGGTGAAAGGAATTTACCGTTAATTAACTTTTTACTATGCAGACAATTACTCAAGTCATAACTGAGTAATGATTTCATCTGTCCCTCTCACAACATGGACGCATAATAGATGGCACAAGGGATTACAGTTATTTATTCCAAAATTCATTATAAATATTACTTTGAAATTATTTGACAGTCAAAGTGAATTAGAGATCATAAAGTCTTGCAATTCTGTGCGTCTTTAGCTCAACAAGGACACATGTCAAACTTTGTCTTTCTCTGACTCACAACATAAAGGCCTCTCTTTCAATAATGTGAAATTTAGACACATCTAGGGTTAATATTAAATGCTTTGTTTTTACATTTACATTAGACTTAGTTGCCACCATAACACATTATATATTCCAGTCATATTAACTGCAGAGTTCCCTTGTATGGTGTTGCATATAGCGTCATCTCTAGCAATACAAAAACAAACAATGATTGCCTGAAATTTATGCCTTAAAATTCTCTGTAACATAATCGCAGGCTGAGTCATTATCCTCTGTGAATGAGTTACTAAAAGCCAGTCTAGCAACACATTCATTTTATTTAAGGAGGGACAGTGAACATGAATTAACATGAGCACTTAAGTCCATCATGGACTGCAAAACAGGCTCACTTTCATCTGCAGCTCTGGCAGGTTGATGGTATATAAGAAAATAACATATTCATCTTCACCTTGATAGGATTACACATAAACACACTATCTACCATTATAGTTATCGATTATACCTTTCATTCTTATATTGTAACTGTATCGACTCTATCGTTATATCTTAAAGTCAATGCACTGGTCAACATTCAACCTTTAAACATCAGCAATTACATAATGCTTAATATTCCAAATATTTTACCACTCCTCCAGGTTTTTGACCTTGGACTTATTTTTCACTGGGATTGGTTGTTGATTCTCCAGCTCCATGAGCTTAATTGAACTTTGCCAACCGTGTCTTTGAGTACAGGATGTCACAATCCCCAAAAATCCCATAAAAGCATTTGAAGTGTCACGATAAATCCGTTACAATAAAGAAGAGCATCATATATCATACCACAAACTCTGGCACTCTGGCCCCCCTTT